GAACAGAATTTTGATTTATTTATATCGGTAATGACGTTTTCATTCGATATTAATTGTGCAATTGTTAAATTGCCTACCTACTCATTTATTGTTTTTGTTTCTGTTGCCTTGAAATAAACATTTTAAAAAAAAATTAAAAAGACATGCTTGATTAAAATTGAAAAAAAAGATGTAGCCATGGCCCCTTCCTGTCTACTGTTCCCAACTTCTTCCAAAGTAAAACTGTGGCGAAGCAAGTGCCATGCAACCATCAACTTTAGAATCGTGTGAAAAAACTTGTATGTTATTGAAAATCATTGTTTTGTTGTCATGAACGTGAAGCGTTGGTTGGTTTATAAAACAAATACGAAGTTCGCAAAAAAACATTCAGTCTATAGATTTACTCTATTGGCTCAGCTGACCATAGGTCCGCTGAGCCTATGGGATGGGTTTCTGTCCTGCGTCTGTCGTCCGTCCGTCTATCTATCTATTTATCTATCAGTCTGTGCACGAATCGTTTGACTCGATTTTTTGTGTGTGGATGCCTTGATGAGTGTAGATAGTAATTTGTTCATGAGAAGTCGATCTGCCAAAAATTATGCAAATTAGCCCCCCAAAACTCTAAAATTTCTTCTATGCTACTATGACACTAAGTGGTCTACAGTGCTGATATTGATAGTGCATGTGCCTTGGGTTGTTCTCTATCTTTTGTTTTGTTAATTTGGTAAGAAAATTTTCAATTTCCTAATTTTGGCGAATATTTTAAAAATTCAGATTTTCCAACCTAACTAGAGTGAAGGTGTGACTTGCCTGCCAAGTTTGAACCAAATCAGCTCAGCCAAAAAAATCACAGAAAAGTTAAAAAGCCATTCCTGGTGAACACTAATGAAAAAAGATATCAAAAATTCAAACAGTAACTTTGTGCCCACACTCAAGCTGGGTAGAATGAGCTATATCTGAGGTGTTTTATCCCAAATTTGTAGAAGATACATTTGGCGCGAAACTATCCAAAATTTTTTTTTTGCTGTTGCTACGACAACGGTGGGCCAAACAAGTTTTCCAGATTTTTCCTAATAACTAGGGTGAAGGTGTGACCTACCTGCCAAGTTTGAGCAAAATCAGCCAAGCAAAAAAAATCCCAGAAGAAATAATACGTAAAAACACTGGAAATCACACACACATACAAACCTACAAAAGGGCAATTCTAGCTGAGCGGATCGCCAACAAATACTGGTCCTATTGATACACAAAGAATGGAATTAACATGTCAAGTCAAAGAAGTTATTAAAGGTACTGAACATCAGGCGTCACTCAGATTTATGAATGATATCTCTGGAGCAAGTACCTGTATGACAAATAGTCTTGTTGCACTTGTGTACTCAGAGATTCTGGACATGAATCAATTGAATTCTTCAATTATCAGTAAAATATTAGATTACGGAAAATTACTTTATGGTGAGGTGTATCCTCATAGACAGAGTACTGATTCATCCTCCTACTTGCAGATTTCAGATTTAAAAGTTTGCTTATCAGTTGAGTTATATCAATTTTGGTGTTCTGCAGGGACATGTATATTTTACTGATCATTTTATTGCCTCGTGTTTATACGAGCATGCACTGTCATATTCAAGGCAAATCACTGCATCAATCACATGCAATGCAATGCAGTTCAGCTAACTGATACAGAATAACCTCATTATTGGAAATATATTTGGATGGTTAAAATGGATTGGTCTAGCTAAGAAAAAAAAAAATGAAACAGACACTAAATATATACCACCAAACAAAGTGTAATGCTGTATCCATCATATCTGCACACAACCTGAAGCAAGTCTAATATTTTAACAGGGACTCTCGTACTGTCATACGTGAATTGTTGTACCTTGATTCAAAATGGCTGACTAGTGGCCATATTGTTGTTACCATTTCTAGGACAGATTTTATATTCGTAAAAGTTGTTTTCACTCAGTAGGTAGTACCTTATCATACAAAATAGTCTCTCAACATTTAAATATAATTTTCTTTTTTTTCAATGTTTATAATTCAGTCATTGAAAACTGGATTCACAGAGACTATGTCGCTGACAATGACCTGTTAAAAATATGTGTGTAAAAAATTAACTCTGTCAGTGTGCAATAATAATGGTGAAAATGATTTGTATGTCAAACACTGTGAAGTATTTATGGAATGAAATGATTTCACTATATCCAGGGGGGGGGCACCTTATCACCGGTCATCAATTATTATCATAGATCACACCTCAAATAGTATATCAACATATGAATCTCATAATGCACAAAAGAACGATATCAACAAAATGTTCAAAGTTGTCCATATTGCATATTACTCCTCAGAATAGAAATAGGAATAGTGTGTCATAATTTTAGGTTCTGTCATTTAATTTCAACGAAACTGGTCTTTTGCTTTATTTCTAACAGCACACTCTCTCTGCTGATGATGTACTAGGACTGCATATGCACTCAAGAATCAAGAACACAGAATAAATTAATTCAGACCTCCTGAACATATGTTCGATCATTATGCACGGTTGACAGATCATAAGAATTGTTAAACATGGGTGCACCACTGTCCCTCAACACCGTGGGTGCACCTAGCCAATGGCAAAAAGTATGGACTGCATCATTTCCTGTTAACAGTATGATAATTACAGAGCTTTTTTGTTTTCAAGCATGAAGGTAAACTTCCTGGGTGGACAAAACAACACTTGAGTCACTTCACAGTTTTAGAACAATGGGTGTGTAGACATGCTTAGCTTAAAATAGAACAAATCAGTAAATACTGAATGGGTGTGTAGACATGCTTAGCGTAAAATAGAACAGACAAAATATGTTCATATATAGAATAATGTAGCATAGCAAGTGTGTAAGTTTCTTAATGCTGTAGGGACAATAAAAAAATATAACATATTCGCTTGGTATGTACAATAAATGACAGGTGTTAAAATTAAATATATTTTATTGATTAAGTATATACAATCCAACTCTTTGATACAATAAATGTAAAGTTTGGGTTATGTTCACTTCTATTGGTGACATACTTCTATCAGAGTGAATCAGTAATGCCTAGCACTACATCTTATCCTATTACTAAATGTCTTGATTACAAACATTATGTTTTAGAAAATGAAAAATTTTCCAAAACATAATGATAAGATAAGATAAGATAATTCTTTATTACAACCTTATAGAATGAATTACATATCTATTTTGGTTTATGAAATGCAATAAAGGTGTTAAAATAAACATAACAAGTTAGATATCTAAAATCTACTACAATACAGTTACATGAAATAATGTTAAAAAAAAATATTAATGACCCATTAGGTGGTTTTCTCTAATGGTATTTGCTGTTTTTATAAATTTGATAAGCTCTGTTAGTAAATATTTGTTGTTTGTATTCAATATATGAATGAATTTTTCTTTGTTTGTACAGTGTTGAAAATTGTTAATTTTCTTTGAAAAATGTGAATATAACAACTCTCTGTTTGTAATCAAGTTAAAACTTTCTCATGTATTTTTTAAATTTTAATTCTGAATTCATTTTTTAATTAATGAAGTAAATGAGTTATAAGGCACTACCTTTGAGAGTTTTAAGTACTGTTGACAATATGTAAATTTGTCATCAAATACTTTGAGAGTCAAAAGTTATCACTAAAATGGTTATTCTGGTTTTTAATTTCACTATTTTCACCGATAAGTAAAGTCTGCTAATTTAAATCCATGTTAAATCACATTATTCTCCTGCCATGTTTGTGAACTTAAAACTTATTAAATAGTGAAAATAAAGGGTTTACACTATTCATTTCTTGAACATAAGTTTGTTTGCTCCAAAGCATGTTACAATTATTATATTTGAATTTTTTATAAGCAGGTATTCAGGCATGGGAAATAAATCTAGGATGCTCATGGAAATATGCAGATATGGCTGCTTTTAATTCTAATTCTACTACTAAAACATAAAAACCAAGATTTGTGAAAAGGAATTAATTTGTATCTGCCAAAGAAATTATGCATGTGATTTAAATTGTTAGAGTCTAGAGACCTGTAGCGTAGAATGAAATAGTTTTTATTTAATCAATAGTAAATATTGTCATATAAAGTTTAGACCCAGACCTAACAACTATAAAATTGATTAACATATATGTATGACGAAAAAAATGTTGATAACTTATTGTTATATTATTTTCATTGGCAGATTGCTACCATGAACAGGCTGATATAATTACAGTATAATAAATCTATAATTACTACTGTCAAGTTTTAAATCTACAGATGGTAACACGACTTTAATTACAGTTTTCAGGAATTTCCAGATATCGGTTTGAAACACAATAGCAGGTAACGCAGTTCAATGTTGTTTTTCTGAATACCACTAATTAAAACAACAAGCATTCTTGAGTAAGCAGATATGTATGTAATTACATTTTGTCTCTGAAGTACTGCATGCCGACACACTTCAGTGTTTTTAAAAATTGAGTTCAAAAATTGTTGTGTGCATGACGCTCACAGTCCATAAAGAGTATATATTTTTAAAAAATCAGAAAAAAAAAACGTAGCCACGTAAAAAAAAATTTGTTCCACGTAGGTTTACCACATTAACAATAAATATATGCAACTGAAATAAATTTGATAATTTATATTGTGACATAAATATACCATCCATCAATGGTTGTGGTAAAATATTTCAACTTTTTAAAAATGTCGCCAAGGTGATTTTCATGTCTCCCCAGCAAGATCACATATCGCATTGGGGTTGGTTTAATTGGTCTAATCATGGAGGTCTAAGGGAATGTATTGACAATGCAAACCACTGCAAGTGTTACATACAATGAATATTCAAATAAAGGTATCAACTGTTTCTGCTTCTCTTCTGTTATTATGTAAGATAGCTATTGTTTGGGTTGTGTCTCCTATGATTGGTTGTCAGACTGGAATGCTTTATGCAAATCACTAGTGCTTTCACACCTGTTGACATAAGAACTACTTCATTCTGAAGCATGTGGGAGTTTTATTCAAATTAGGTGTGTCATTCTTTGTTGGTGCTCTGACCCATTCTGTTCAATTTCACTAGCATCAAACGCTCACTGGACTAATACCTGTTGTGAATTTGAAGAAAGCTACCAAGCCAACAAGTAAGTCTGCTTTTTTCATGACTGTCTTCTTACACTAATTTATGGTGAAAAACTGCTAGATATTTTCAGTTGACACAAGAACCGTACCTCAAATTTCAAATAGGACTGTTTTATAAAATGCCACTCACCAAACACTTGTAGATTACTGTAAAATGACTAATTTTCAGTTGGTTTTAAATTTACGGTTTCGTCAATTAGATAATGTGTTCTATGCTAAATTTTACATATTCACTGTGTTTTAATTTAGCGCATTTTTCCAGTCAGCGAAATAAGCTAAATTAAAACCCAGTGAATAATTACCCCCTTTACAGTATTTCAGTGTAAGCATAGCATTATTTGCATAACCTTGACTCTTGTTTCCTTCATGTCTCAATGCCTTGCCATTATGTGTACTTGTTCATGGTGTTGCATTCTCTTATATCAGATTGTAGAATACATTGTACATCAGAATAATTTAAATCTTCCCTCGGCATGCCGGTTAGTACAGATCATCAAGTGCAATGTTTTTGGATAGGGTATTTGTATGACCATGGGTGTAATTATTATTACAATTTTATTTTTAATTTAAATTAATGATATCACAAATTCTTTTCATCTTTTGAGTATTTAGAGATGACTCAAATTTGTTTCATACATATTTACATATAAATAATAATATTGATCAGTCAGAAGTCACAATTAATTTAAACCAATTTCTCTCTTGATGTGTGATGCTGATAAATTAACTATAAATAATGGGAAAACTTATTTTATAATTTTTAGGGGTGAAAATAAGCCTATTATTGTGACATTATCTATTTCCATTGAGGAGACAATATTGACAAGGTTTGTCAGAGTAACTTTTGACAAGCATCTCATCTGGTCCAACAAGCATAGGGCCCCCAAACACAGAACCCTAATCCTAACCCTGCCCCTCCAGTGTATACCCTTATCGGGTCACTTACAATTATTTGGAGGGGCATAGTGAATTACATTGGGAGCCTGGAGTGTTAGGGTTGGGGTTTAGGTTAAGGGTGAGTGGGCCTTAAGGAACTCTTCCCAAAACATCATAGTCCGTACCATGATGTTGAACTTTCCCTCCTTGTTTTAAAATTTGAAAATTCATTCACTATCTTTTGGTCCTATTAATTCACATTTATTAAAATGAAATTCCAAAAGTGTATACTAATGGCTATCCAAAAAAGGAATTCTGATGTCTGCTAGTATTTTTTCATGCCTGAACTATTAATTAGTAAACAAGTCATCTTGTAACTACTGTAATTGGTATTAGAGCAATTACAAATCAGTGCTTAATAATTGTACATGTAGATTAAAATACTACTGCCCAGGTTATTGACCACCTCTTGCCTATAGTGATCACTTTTAGACGGTGTATAACACCCTGTGTATAAAGACCACAAGATGTATGTAACCACCCTTTCAGCATCATTTTTGCAAATTCACCTTTCTTTATAAACTAAAATAATATTAGCTTTCTGTTCATGAATCTGTTTTTAATTTGATTTTCTTTAATTTTTCTTGACTCATAAATGTGTTTGTTTGCAACTGTACCATCTCGTTCGCTGTTCAATTGTTATGTCAAATATGAACAAATAATTCAACCTTCATATAAAGACAACCTGTATATAAAGACAATTTTAATGAAGTCTTGCTATATACTGGTTTGACTGAAGAAAACTAATTTAATTTATTAGTAATTAGAAAATATCATATTCAAGCATAATATAATTTGCCTGGCATATGCCTCTTGGAAATATTGTGTTTAATTGTATCCAGGTTACCAGGTTAGTTTGTAATTTATATACCGTCTGTGGCATATATAACCGGTATATAATTTATAATCCACTGGTATTCTGAATGAGTGCGACATTGAGGACCAGTGACTTTTCGCATAGTGATCAAGCTTAAGCTCAGAGTAATAAAACTATGGAGAGTAACAAGTCAAAGATTGTGTCACATGGGTAAATAATATTGGGGGGGGGGGTCACCATCATGTGTGTGTGTGTGTGTGTGTTTACTTATAATTTGTAGACATATGATATGTTCACATGGCAGCATTCTACCAGAGCCAAACTACTGCGCTCCTCCTACCGAGGAGATTACCTCCAATGCGTTCATACGGTCGGGAGTGGAATGAGAGCTGCCATAGTTCGATTCAGTTCGGTCAGAGCCTAACGGAACAGTGCCCTCAAATAATTAGTATGAAAAAACGGGCTTCTGTTTCTTTACATGGCACGATTCTGTTGATGTGGGAGAAAAAACAGAAATGCTCGCAATCGAATCTGAGCATTGAGGTAGAAAAGACAATGAACTGGTGTTATGATTTAGGTAATAGTATCTCGAATAAACAGAAAAAACGGCAGCTAAAATGTGTTACAGCCTATTCGCTTACGTTATTGTTATTATTCAACTGTTGTGATATGTATTACAGTTGTCAATCTAAACCTACTTTGAACATGTCACCTTACTGTGACCGCTTCTACGATTTTTATCTCTGGTGTCTTTAAAAAGTATCTTCAATTTTCATTGAATCTGTTCAGTCCTTCTTCCAAGTGTTTGTTGCTTAATTTAATATGCCATTTTTTCATTAAAAATTGTTCAAAGCATACAACACATGCTGGAGAAGACGATGTGATATTCTTGAAATACAATGTGCACAAAATGATACAACATTGTAAATATATCAATAGTTTTACGCAGTATATGCATCTTCCTTGTTTTTCTTTACCTCACATTTTGTGCATGGCCCAAAACATTTTCAAATTGTTTCAATATTGGCAAACCTGCCTGTGTAAACTCTGAAATTTGTGCATATCACCACAGTGTTGCGTCATACCTAGGTGATAATGTCTTTGTGTATGATAATCTTAAATTTCCACTTCCTTGAATTCCTTCCAATATCTTGGAAGATATGGTTTTGAATTGTGTGTATGTCATCATATTGCATGATTTTTTTATTTTTAGAAAGTCTGAAAATTAGGAACTCTGGATTCTTACATTATCTAAAACTTCACAAAAAAATAATTTATTTTATACTTTTAATGCTTTCTATTTTAAACCTCATTTGTCATCGAAAAATTTCAATTTTCGGAAATGGAATGGCCGATTATCTTGTATTTTACATAGTTATGTATTTCTGCTTCCTTTTTTCCCCACATCTGATTCTGTAAAGTGAAATGACTGAACCATGAACCAAGACTATAATGGTGTAAACCAAATATTTTATTACCTTTGTAATAGTTTACTGAAGGTAGTATAGGCCTTGAATATGTCGTTGACCATGACTAAATTCACCAAGATTTGTCATTAATTCTTTCTCATTACACTGTAAAAAGGATTGGTAAATTCCTTTTCCCTGACATGCGTGTGTACTCTAGTTTCATAATTTGAATTTGAGATTAGCAAGGTTTACTGCTGGGCATGAAGACACAGGAAATCACAGACAGGCAAAGTAATTCATTCACCTGTGAATTCTACAGTGGATGAACTTTGCATACAAAATGTACAAATCTCTCGGATCAATATCCTGTTGATTCAGTGCTTTATATGGTACAGTACATTCTTGATTTCTTTGTACTTTAATGACTTTTTACTAGCAAGGGAAATTTATTATAGCCATCGGTGACATGTTTATGCTTGTTGTTTGTTGTGTACACACGAGTTCACTCTGCTGAGTAACTATGGGAAACGTACTGGTTCAAGAGCCATTATTAAAACAAAATTGGTTACTTATTAATATTTATATAGTCTATCATTAACTATTCACTCTCTGATGTGAATAATATTCTACAAGGGGAAATGAACAAGACAGGAAAATTGTGGTAAAACTTTTTGACAGTTTGACAACTGTTTTTTATAGACTACCCACTAGAAATGTAAATTAAACAATCCTTTGTTTCACTCCATGTCACCATAGTTGTTTTAGATATTTTCCTGACATAAGGAATAACAGTAAAATGTACTAAAACCAACAAATCTGTCATTGTGATATTTAATGTAAAATTAATGTAGTGTGAAAATAAAGAAAAAGCATTATTTTATATTCAATTCTTTCCATGTGAATTATAAGAATGTTTGTTCTGTTGACAACTGCTTAGATCAAACATACACAGCAATATAAAACTTAGTGATGATTCTAACTTATTTAGCCATTGACCATAACTTGGTTGCTATGTTATGACACAAATTGCAGGACAAATTGACTTATTGGCAAGGCCTGTGATGAATGAATTTTTTTTATCGTGCAGTGTTATCCCCGGAATAATAAGTATATATTTGCATAACAATATGATATGTTAATTGCCTCCAGTGTATTCATTATTATGTTAAATTTGTTCTATTGTCTATCCTAAATTGGGAACTTCTCATCTATAATATAATGCTCTGGGGAAAACCCAGTCATCTGAATTCTGACTTGTATATACAGGGGTACAGTGTATGTTGTTGAGTTGCTTCTCTTGCAAAATCATTCCATAAATGTAATTTAATTTAACTTTTATGCTTCCATGTACTTTGATGCTCTCTTTTTTTTCAAAATCTGTGCAGGTCTTCAATAAAATTGCATTCTTATGTGTAGAAACTTTTGATTCAAATGTAATTTCTCAACATGCGCAAGTCATCTGTTATCTTTGCGTCTACCCAGTCCTTGTTAACTGTCTTAATTCTACTACGAAAAATTCTCTGCACAATAATCAAATACTAGTACAACGAATGAATAAGCATTAATTATGTACATGCAACGATGATTCATACGTGTCTAAATAAGACTATTACACATTACCAATACTGTTTTCTATGTGCAACATATTTGAGTACAAACATCCTCCCCTGCATCATGAATTCACAATAATTTTAGATTTACCAGAAAAAAAAGATAATATTTATGTTACAGCAATGATTATCAATAATTTTACTATTTTTAAGAGCTGAAAATTTAATATTTTAATGGGTGTGGTTAGGTTCTAGGGAATTCAAACATAAAGCAATTTGCAGGCATATTGATTTAATTCTCACTGTATGACAAATTAATGAATTTTGTAGTAAATATTCACGATAGCACTGGTAGCCTGGTGCAATTTCAGTGACAAAAACGTATTTTTCAATATTACAATTCCTGATTAATGAATTGATACTATTTGCACAATTATTATTCATTCGCTTACATATATTGTGTGACCGTGTGAACGTAAAAACTCCACTCAAATTAAACTGCTATCTTTCAACTAACTTGCACACTATTCTACCCAAGGAAGAAAAATGAACATGCAAATTACCTTTGGCTATAGCCCAATATTTTCGTGTTTTTTTTGCAGAATTTTGGTAGTTGAAAAACTGTCATGATCATATTTACTCAGCGAAACGCGCACGCAAGTCAATTTTCTCTTAAAAAAAAAAAAAAAAAAAAAAAAAAAATTCAACTGGAAATCAATGTTTCTCAGCTGTCTTAAATAGTTCTTCTAACTGCCTTTGTTTGTACCCACCCACTCTCCCTTGTAGAGTCCTTGTAACCTAGGGAGCTGCAGCTAGTGGGTGCTCCCTGGCGACTACCTAGCTTGGTGATAAAAGACCCATAGTCTCTGCGAAGCAGAATGGTACCCACCCACACAGCAGACAACTGGAATGTTTACTGGCCTCTGGCTATCAACAGGCAATGGTTGAATGTTTACTTGTCCTGGCTACCAACAGACAACTCTGGAATGTTTACTGGCCTCTGGCTACCAACAGACAACTGTTGAATGTTAACTGGCCTCTGGCTACCAGCAGACAACTGTGGAATGTTTACTGGCTGCCAGCAGACACCTGTTGAATGTTTACTGGCCTCTGTCTACAAGCAGACAACTGTGAAATGTTTACTGGCCTCTTGCTGTCAGCAGACAACTGTTGAATGTTTACTGGCCTCTGGCTGTCAGCAGACAACTGTTGAATGTTTACTGGCCTCTGGCTACCAACAGACAACTGTTGAATGTTTACTGGCCTCTGGCTGTCAGCAGACAACTGTTGAATGTTTACTGGCCTCTGACTGATGGCAGACACCTGTTGAATGTTTACTGGCCTCTGGCTACCAACAGACACCTGTTGAATGTTTACTGGCCTCTGGCTACCAACAGACACCTGTTGAATGTTTACTGGCCTCTGGCTACCAACAGACACCTGTTGAATGTTTACTGGCCTCTGGCTACCAACAGACACCTGTTGAATGTTTACTGGCCTCTGGCTACCAACAGACAACTGTTGAATGTTTACTGGCCTCTGGCTACCAACAGACAACTGTTGAATGTTTACTGGCCTCTGGCTGTCAGCAGACACCTGTTGAATGTTTACTGGCCTCTGGCTGTCAGCAGACACCTGTTGAATGTTTACTGGCCTCTGGCTGTCAGCAGACAACTGTTGAATGTTTACTGGCCTCTGGCTGACGGCAGACACCTGTTGAATGTTTACTGGCCTCTGGCTGACGGCAGACACCTGTTGAATGTTTACTGGCCTCTGGCTGACGGCAGACAACTGTTGAATGTTTACTGGCCTCTGGCTGTCAGCAGACAACTGTTGAATGTTTACTGGCCTCTGGCTACCAACAGACAACTGTTGAATGTTTACTGGCCTCTGGCTACCAACAGACAACTGTTGAATATTTATTGGCAATCAAACAATAATGGTTGACAATTCTAGGCCATGCAAAATGTCCATACATATAAACTTGCAGCATATTCTGAGTTTAACAATGTATACAGGTGAAAAAATATCCTAAACATATTGGGAGTGTACCTATCATTGACTATGTCAATGTACTCTAGTTGCTGGTGCAATCTCAACATATTTAAGCCCTTTATACTGTCATGCTTGTGTTTTTTTTTAGTTACACAGGTACTGATCCCTTTTTTACAAGAATCTCAAATTAAACCATACCTTGCATCACGTCTGTTTCTTGCTTATATCATGCACTGTAAAGGGACACAAAAAACAGATGTAAACCTGTTAAATTTTTTTCAAATCATCTATAACAAAAGTAATTAATCAAAAAGTAAGCACAACATTCTGGTCACTTTGTGTGATGTCATGTACACATGAAGAAAATCATTCACATGTAATCATTTTGTAGAGAACACTATTTAAAATCATTTTTAGAACTCCCACAGCCAAAGCATCCCATTTGCCTAAGGGGGGAGCAGCGACTGAAATGTCGGGGTTTGAAGTGTCTGTCCACCTGCAAAACTGCTCGACTTGAAAGACCCAAGAACAGCACTGGCTCCTGTACAACCAGTTGCTTGACTCACAATTTCAGGCTTATTAATGCTCCTGGGCTTGTATGTTTTCTACCATCAGCCCTACTTATTGGTGTCTGGCAATGTACATGCATGTACTACTAATGTGTACTCGTAAATCAAAATAAACTGTTGACAGCTCTTTTAAATAGGTGTCAGTCAGCTTTATAAAAAAGTTCAATTATAATGGAATACATGTTTAACCTAGCCCATACAATACATGTGATTCCATGTACACTAAATTGTCTTGTTCATCTGTTCTAATCTAATTTAGTCTCTACTTTCCTAATATAATTGCACAATGTAGTAGTCAATGAATGTTTTCATAAATCATTAGTGTTGACTTTATTTTCATTAAAAATGTATATCCACTGAAAGAACCAAAGATTGACTTTTTTTTCTCTGCACCATGATAGTATTCAATGTGCAACATTGGTATATAGTAAACTTGATTTATTATTAGAAACTCTCAACTTGCTGTTGAGATTAAAACCTTGTAAATGAAAGAAATAAATGAACTACCAGTGAGCATAAAGGCACAGCCTTACTTATATTTTGTAAAGAGTGTCATTGCCATCAATAATTTCAACTACATTGTGTTCACCCATGTCACTAATATCAGACATAGACAGGTCACAGGTAGAATAGTGGTTGTACATCAAACTCATGGTCGGTAGATCTACAATGTAAGTTCAAATTCTAAAAAACTGTCATAAATATGGCTACTGTGGCAAAAATGCACTGTCGGCACTAGCCTAGGGCTTGCTATTTGCACATACAAAAAAAAACGGTGACATTCAATGTCAAGAACTGTTACCTGGCACAAAAAAATATTTATGTACATGTATGTGGCAGTTTTGAAAGGAATAAAGCTAACCCTACCTAAATGTTAAGTTGTGCTTTGATCATATTGTTGTCAACATTTTTCCAGTAACAGATACTGTACATAGTGTCAGATGAGAATATATCATGATACAGTGTTTTATTATTAGATGCAGCTTTAATATATATAAACTATAATCATAGAGCTATCAACTTGATCATATTTGTCTGCTGTTTTTGTTTTGATTTCTCTAGTGTTTTTTAACTGAAATGTTAAAGGAGTTTCAATACAATTAAGTGACAGCTGTTTGTGTCTTGACTTGCACCTAAACCTAGGTATGACTTCTCTCCAGGTGTCAATAACTTTAGTCTTGACAATTCTTTTTCTGAATTTGTTGAATCAAAGAGGTGTGCTTTGGATTAACTGTTATGGTATATGTGATCAGTGTGTCAGTAGGTGCAGTGAACTGTGCAATTGCCTGATTGTTTTCATGATTTGATACGGTGGTGTGAACCTATTTAAACTGTAGCGAGTAAAGCTGCCTTCAACCAGATCCACCTTTTTTGCATGCATACATGCATACATAGCTTTCATGGCCACTGGGGTCATAGTTTTACATATGCTAATTTTCAGCTTTGTCATTTTCAGCACCTATAGCGTCCAGCATTACTGTCATTGTCAAATAGAGTCACATACACATTGTCCTGTGGTGAAAGTTCCAACTATTCTGAAAGAGGAAGAAAATACTGCAGCATGTTGTAATTTCCGCAACGCAGGTAAGATGAATAACACCTATTTGTGATTCCATGTGGGTTTATGAGAGTGAGTAATAAGCCTCAGTGAAAGAGAAAATGCCCAGCCTTTTAAGGTGATTGGGTTTTTTGTTTATCATGCAAAACGGCCGTAAACAAAAGCCATCCATACAAAGGGACATTAATTACATGCAGCTTTTCTGTTATGCGTCATCATCAGGGCGTCTCCCATGCAAATCCAACAACTGTTCCTGCTCATTTTAATATAAATGGTGGCTGTGTTCAAAAAAATAGTCTGTTCCATGATTGGTTGCTATAAATAATCGTACTGCTGGCTGTTTTGTACAGGGCCCTGCCTGCTAAGGTTAGTCACTTCACCACTAGCCACATTCACTTTTAACAGTACTCACCTTATTACAATTGGATTTACGTACACTTCAAAAGTGTCGTCAATATGATGTACACAGTAGGTAAGTAACAGAAATGTGTGGATTATTTTAATATGACGGCATTTGAGGTGAATTGGAAAGTGAGAATTTAATACACACAAATCATTTAAAAGCAACAAACACACTGACGGCCATTTTGAATTTATCATTGTAGTGCTATAGCAGGCTGTGGTGGAACGTTTTCAGAAGATCTCACTTGGTGAAGATAACACCCAATAAGGATTTACTTGCTGTAGTATATTTAGTGTTTTTTTTGAAAAAAACAATGGCAAGTATGGCACCTGTAGCCATACTAATGCTGGCCTTACTAAGCATACAACAACTTTCGATACAAGCCATGCCATTCCCCCAAATCAAGGTACCCTGTCATGTTATGCCTGGATTTGAAGTAATGAAGTTACAGCATGTAGGACAGCATTACAGAATGCACCGTCATGGGAATGAGAACATTGACAGGTTATTCAACATAACTGAAGATGGAGTATTACAAACCAAGGAGAAACTAAATGATTATGCGGATAACTTGTTCAATATAGTGGTAGAACAGTTTCTGAATGACAACTCCTGGAAAGATTCTTTCAGTATTTACATCTCTGATAGCCAGCAGGATTTGGCTTTCAGTAGTAAGGTTTTTTATGGAAATGTTGCTGAGAATCAACCAGCTGGTACGCAAGTTGTCGTTAATGCATTCATGTCTGCCTGTTATATGTGCAAGGATGTTAACTACCAGTTGGTTGGTGCAGGAAGTGAAAAGTTCCGACTTGTCTATGAAGGACAATCAGTTAAATTGTTCACCGCTGATGTGTTAGATCGGGAAATCCAGCCAGAGTACATTTTTACGGTCACTGCCAGTTTATCATCAGAAAGTGTGACATCAGAGCTGACAATATCCATCATGGATGTAAATGATAATGCTCCCATATTTGATCGCGAGTTCTACGAAGTTACCATCCCTGAAGTATCTCCTGCTGATGCACAGGTTGTACAGGTTCAGGCCAGTGATGCTGATGCTGGTGAGAATGCACGTATCACATACCAGACTGACAACAATGATATGACTTTCTCTGTGCATCCAGATACTGGTAGCGTGATAATAGGAGGACCACTGCATCCTAAGGAATATGCCTTCACTGTTTTTGCACATGACCATGGTGATCCATGGCTTGAGTCTACAACTACTGTTTACATCACCGTAACTCCAGTCGACCAACATCTGAAATTCTCTTCCATTTTTGAGCCAGGTCCAGTGATACTTGGCCGAAAGACAGAAAAGTTACCAGATATGGAAGCCATGATAAATGAAGAAGTGCCAAGTGGTACAGTAGTGGCAGAGGTAGCAACCGCCGTAAATGGTCAGAGTGGTGATAAATTTGTGATGAACAAACCTCTCAATCCCAGGTTTCATGTCAACTACTTCACTGGTGAAATATTAGTGACTGGAAAACTGAACCACACAGAACACCCAATAGAAGAAGTGTATGTCGAGATCACGCAAGATTTTAATAAACCAAATAAACGTGAGTATATGCATAAAGGTATAGTTGCTTGTCTAATTCTAAATCAAATTTTCATTGTATCTCCCAAGCTAAGCTTATTATGCCAATCCAGTAATGATCTACCAAAGTGTTCCAAATTTTGTATTTTTCTGTATATGGTACACGTGTATATATATCATTTGTACACAATATGCTGTGCCCATCATTTATCCCATCCTTTTAGGTGATGATATATAGGTTAGCACAGAATGATTCAGTTATAAAAGTTTGACACTTATTGTGTGTATTATTGTAAGACCTAATAAGATGTGTAACAAGTTAGCCTACCAACAAGTTGTATGAAAGTTGCATGTATGACTGAGACTTGAAACAAACACATATTTTTTATCACAAGGCATATAGGTACATGTACTACAGGTGGAGATGCCTCATATTTTTTTGTGATATCTTCTATTTTGCTTGAAATGTGCATTGAAGGGCTTCTTGTTTAATAATGTACAAAAAAAGTACATGTGATTGTTTTTCATCAACAACAAAAGTTGTGTAACTGTTCGTCATCCTCAACTGGTGTTTAGTTTGTAGTTATGAGAATAATCACGATAAACAATTTATTTTACTACAATCTAGTGTATAATTTATATTATAAAACATAGATTGTAGTAACAAGGAGTAAATCCAAATTGAGATTTGATCAATAGTACCATGTCATGTTATTTCCAGGACCATAGGAACATGCCTAATCTATTAATAATTGACTTGTTTGAATTAGCAAGGTAGCCTTGTAATTATAATAGACAAATTAATTAGGAGAACAAGGACATTCATGCTCACTGATAGTGTACAGTAACAATATTATACTTATTGATATATATATATTTTTTAAAAACTTTTAAATTTAGTTTTAGATATTGGATTGTTATTTTTTCATTTCACTTATTTTGTTTATTTTTTGCAAAATTTTATACTAATTATGAAGTTTATTAAGTTTGTTTTTTTAAGTGTAATACTACATATTTTCAGATGATTCGGGATAATTGCTCCATTTTTAAATGAAAGTGAGAGTAAAAATTGGCTTTTGATCACTGTTTTAATAAACATGTATGTATGCATTGAAATTACATGCAAATAATGAAAAAAACAAACTATGAGAGACAAAAATATTATTCAGATGTGATTCCTGTATCATAATCCTGTCTGTGAAAAGGTTAAACAGTAAATTTGGAATTGTGCCAACCTGAGTCCCAGCCTTTAAGCAAATAATAAATACACGACAATAAGGTATCGCGCTCTCTGCGTCACTAAATACGACATCCAGACAAAACAAGCGGCTGTTGTTCACTGTCTATGCATAGTTTTATGTTACCGTAATTGTCTCCTAAAAGCACAATCCAAACAGGATTATTGAAAAATATCATTCCAAATATCGGCAAATTTTCTCAACACTCTCGTGCTTAGCATCCTATTATTATTCTCACTGTTTTCTCACTAACAAATTTAAAACATTTATTTTCCATTTATCCATGATTGCACTGTTAAATGAGAAAAAAAATGTCCAGACATTTTCTGGATCATTACTGCATCATTATTGCATGTGCTAAAAATAGCAATTCTTCATTGGTACTGGGTTTGATATGACCAAACTGCATTAATCATATTGTCACAGTTTGCTAGGTGGCTAATACTGTCGGGTACCTTAACACAGATGTATGTATAATAACATTTCAAGGTCTTTGTTTCAAGTATTCATATGATATACAACTAAAGCTTAGTCAGATCTGTGGAAAATGGTGAAACTTTTTACTTATTTGCCTCTGGACATGTCCCGCAAAAACATGATGGAATTATAGACACAAATTTATGCAATTCATCAAAATGAAATACATTAAAATAGAATTATTTGTTTAAAATATTCCATGTTATGACGCAAGTTGAGTGCACCTATTCAGTTAAAATGTGTAGGAATGTGGTAAATATTCAAATTTGTAGATCACTTAATACTCCACTAATTAAAGTTACCAATTGATCTAGCAGTATATCCAATTTAAATTTCCTGGTGGGCAGATTAATGCTTTTTTACAATGCAAGGTTTTATCTTTGCTTACCTACTTACAGTATTTTGTTGGTTATGTGGTGTTTCTTAGGCAGCCATCATATCCCACTCTGGAATTCAGATTTAAAAGTATTATAGATACATTCCTTTACATTTCCAAATGAAACTGATTTTCTTCAAAAAATATTTCTTTGCAAAATGCTTGGATAAATTTTCCTCGTTCTAAAACTCGCTAAAATGACTCAAAATATTTAAAGCACAATGAATGTTTTTCAACACTTTTTTTGTTAATACATGTATTCATAAATATTGTCATATAGATTTGTTTATAGGCAAGCAATACATGAATAATTACTTTTTAAAAAGGTAAAAATGTATGATCTTCAGAGGTAGATTACAAATTACACAAATTCATAAAATAGTCTCATTTTTAGTGAGCACTTTTCTTCAGAAGATTGGGACGAAAATGGCCAAACTGAAAATTGATTCAAATTTTGTCTGTTGGCTCCAAAATTACAATGTAGAGTTCATTTCAAGAAAAAAGTCTGCAGCCCCCATCTTTAACTCAAATTGGTCCCTACAACAGTTTTGTTATTAATGTCAAGAGAATTGACAATTCTATTTAACCTGAAAGTAACGGCTCTATCATGGTTGTCATTTTGAATTGAAAAATTGACATCTTGAATATATCCCGTTAACTAATTATGTACTATTACTGTCCTTTCCACATAAATATTGAATTAAGCAGTACATAATTTATTGATTTGAGATCAGCAGGTGTAAGATTAGTTTACCTTTATCACCATGCAGCACATAGAATATCATTTAAAGGCACACCTCCAGGTAAGCCTAATCTCATGGCAAAATTCATCAAGAAATTAAAAACTGATTAACTCTTGAAACATAATCAAGTGTCCAATCCCAGGGAATGGCAGCTTCCCCTTTAAAAAAAACAAGTTGTATATCATATTATATCATATCAGGGTGTTCTCAAATTGAGAACTAATGTTGCTCACTTTACCACATCATTTTTTAAATGTAGCCTTTTTGTAGGATAAAAATGGCGTGCAAAATAGGAATACTATGTTTAAAAAATAAACTTGAGATGAATGACAAATCTGCAAGCTGCTATTGACATGCGACATGTCTTCTAGGACCAAGTGTTTTCTATCCTCAATTCAAAGCTGTTTCTTTGTAAAAAAATTCACTTGGGAATTAAAGCGGTTTTGACAATGAATACAACAATATGAATGAACCTTGCATTTAATCTCTTGAGTATTAATAACAATTCAAGGTTGAATGTACAATAAATTCTGGCTTCTTTTTCAAATTATTTCTTGGTATGTTGGACCATGGAGGTAAAAAAAGAATTTATCTCTATGGTTGGAATAAGACAAGACTATTATTAGAGTTAGTGTGTTCTATCTGTCTTAATTTCTGAGGAGAGAGGGAGGTGTACTGCAAAAATGTTGTCAAAAATTGAAATTAGGTAACAGATGGTCAGTGTTTTTCAGTGTTTAGTCTGTTTGAGACTCCTTTATTTAATGCGAAGCATATTATATGTAGCATATGGCTTACTATCAACAGAAAAATAACACATCAGCAGTATAGCCCACTAAAAGACTGATTAGCATGGTTCTACCACTGCCACCATATTACTATTGCCTTGCATCAGTTCGATACAGATTTATAAATTATTTAAATTGTACATCAAAGCTTTATCTCTGATTGAAATTAAATATACATGAAACTAATATGCTTGTCAGTCATAGGTTTATGGGTCTCTTCTGCTTCAGTAATTTTATTTCAAAATGATGACTTGAACTAATAATGAAAAAAAAATCTGTAATTGTTAACATTTAACAAATTGTGAGATAATTTTTTTTCTGGAAATTGAAACTATATTGATTGAAATGCAGAATATGGGGATATAGAATATGTTTACTTAGGCACGTATATCCATAAATTTGCATATTCAATTTGTTCTATAAATACTGTCCCCAGACAGTATACAATTCGATTTAAATGTTCACAGATACATTGCTTAAAAGCACATTCCACTTAGTTAACTAGTAAATAATCTTAAGAAATTGACACCTGAAACAATTTGGTTATTATTTTCTTGTTCAGGTATGCAATTTGAATAAGGAGTGTCTGTCTTTCCCTGTGAAAAATACCTTGGTTGAAAGCAGGAAATAGGGTGTGGTATGTTGGATGTAACTGGATACCTTAGCAATGATTGAACAATTTTGTTTGGCAGATTTCAAAATTTTGATGAAATCCCCAATTTGTTGCATCATAGCTTCTGTGTATATTGACTATCAAGGTTAATCTTGCATACATGTATGTAAAGAATGTTGGATGTTAAATCATACATTAGATGCTTGTGCAGGTCTGGAGTTCTGTGTTAATTATTAACTGAGTTTTAATTTTACTTATTTCGCTGACTGGAAAATGTGCTAAATTAAAACCCAGTGATTATGTAAAATTTAGCATAGAACACGTTATCTAAATGATAAAACAGTGAATTTAAAAACTCGCCGACTATGCCTGAAATGGTAAATCAGCGGAATTTAAACCCAGTGAAAATTAGTCATTTTACAGTATATATATAACCTTTATACAAAGTACAGGTCGATTCTTGTGTGGGTTCTCACAATTTTTTTTTTTTGTATTTTAATTTATAAATTGATTTTCAGCAGAGAAGTCATTTTGTCAAGTCTTTTTTTTTTTTTGTGCAAATAGTGTGACAACTATACTCCAAAGTCCAACCTGTGATTAGGTGCTTTGTATTACCTCAGAGACGCAAGATATTTTTGGGGAGACAAATGGAGTTGCAATGAAAGTTGTATTGTTTTATATCCAAATAAGATCAGCTGTATTTCAATGAATATTTACATTGTAGTTGTGATTATTTTGCTGGTAGATGTACTCTGTGTTTACATCAAAGTTTCATATCTAATACTTTTATCTGGATTATAATGCCCCTCAGCAATTTGCCATCCTGAACCCCATGATAAATAATGGTATAATCCAGCTGTTTGGAATGATGTCATTGTGCTCATTCCATAAAAGGTGAAGTGTGTTCCATATTAGGGCATTGCAGGGAGCAATGACATGCCTAAATACCTATGTCAGGTATTCCATTATGAGATGGTAGAGTGTTAAATGAATTTCTGTGGGTAGAAGGCAGCTGATTCATTTTACGAGGAAATGAAAGTGATAAAAATAAATTTTGAATAGATAGAATTTCTATACTTGTTCCCAAATAACACTTGTATAAAATTAAAGAAAGTTTAATAATTTATGAATGCATTATGTGACTATCTTGGTGTTTATGGAAGAAAATAAAGTCCTGTTATAATGTTTGAATTGGCCAGTACAAGTCTGGTTTTGTCTTTGTTTCCCTGGTGTATATCTAATGAAACTATAGCTCTATAGTTGAATTTTTTACCTTGGTTACTAATTTGTCGGTAGTTGTTGTTGTCACGAAGCCGTTTCTTTGATCTAATAACTACAATGAGTTTAGTGATTGCAAAGGGAATGCATACACATGACTATAGCTTATTTGGCTGACCTGTTAATACCGACTAGACCTCTCTACATACCTTGAATGCATTGCAGGTGAAGAAACCAAACTGATCCTTCCCCTTGTTTATCTGCGCTTAACTTTCAAAGCCTTTCAGACCTGTCAATAAAACATTATTTTCAAGTCAAGTATGTCAGATCCTTCATGACGTGCCATAGACAAACACTTGTGCACAGAAATGTACAAAAAAATATTTATTTTGTTATTTGAGTTGTAGCTGTGTTGACGGAACTCTTGCAGTGTGGCATATTTTCACTCTGAATTGTAGAATTCTCTGCTTTGTGATGCCAGTTGTTAGGAAGACAATGGGAGAAATTGCATTCTTTCAGTGGAAAATAGTTGTCGGTATTTAGGAAGTAACGTTTCAAGGCTAGTGATTAAAGCAATCAGGAATTTTGTTTTTATTGTGTATAAACCTTCGGCATTATGTCCCACTCACTCACACAATCAACCACCCAGTGCTGGTCTGTTTTTCCTGAGCTTAATAATTACAAAATTAACACTCGGCTCTCACATTATCTGATAACAAATATGGAGCCAATTAGAATCTAGATTTGGAACAAAAAAAAAATCACATGTCCCTGGTCTTATAAATTTATCTTTTGAAACCTGTATTAAAAATATAGGATTACAAACTGCCCATCTGTGACGCATACACATGACTTAATACTTCTATCATTTTAAATCAGAATTTCAGAGATAGATATTAAGCTGTCTCCTCCCCCATATTTATTTTAAAAAAAAATTAACAGAAAGCTCATGATCACAGCTAATCGATAGGGTTGCATTAGAATAGTTCTGAACGGCAAGCTATTAAGTCTCGTCAGTTGAATGAAAAGAAAAAAAAATACTGTACCCTGTGACTAGAAATTCCAATACTATGTCTGTTTTATCTGTGCATTTGAATTGGAAATGTTTCTGTGGTTAAAATAAGTAATATTTTATTGATTCAGTATACAAGTGTAATAGCTCGTATGCAAGGCTATACATGATACATAGGGCAAGTACTGACACATTGCTATGTTTACATTAAATTGACAACCACAATGTATTTCATTCTTTATGGATTCCATTCATTTATTTTTTTCTTTCACTTCAACAGCTACTCCCAAAACTATAAAAGTACTTATCACTGTGGAAGCTGCAGTCAGTGGAATTCAGGAAGTTTCCAAAGCATCTAAGAGGGTTCGCAGAGCCAGTAATCCTGTGTTTGACGAAGCCAAATATGAGGGAAGCGTGCCTGAGGTGGATGGTCTCAATAAACCACAAGTATTCACACCTGAAACGATTCTCACGGTATGTGACATATAACATTCATTTCTCAATGAATTCAAATTGCTTTTTAGTCCCCGTTCAGACAAAGTCCAAAAACGGGGACTACCGTAATAATTTGATTTCCGTCTGTGTGTCCGTCTGGAGCCATTTCTCGGACACCCTTTGACCGATCTTATTCAAACTTGGCATACTGACAATCTATGATGACCTACATATGCACATCAATTTTCGTTATGATTTGTTTAAATATGGCTGACTGGAAGCCATTTTGTCCCTCAAATTTGCTAAATTCTGATATTTAAACGTGTCCGGAACTGTTTCTGAGATAAACAGGGTGATTTCAATAAAATTTTGTATGTTGATCATGCATATTGGGTTATACTAATATTGGGTTACTCATGCACATCATATTTTTTTTCAAAATTTGAACAGACTGGCAACCATTTTGTTTTTTTTCTTTTTTGTGCCGATTCCTCTGAAAGATATGGCCTGATTCATTCCGTTTGTACATAGGTAGTATACTGCAAGGTAACACAAAACCATGTTTTGTTTTGAGATTTGATCAAATTTGTCTAAATGGCCATTTTGTCAAAAAAAATATCATTCCTATTTTATATCATTCTGTAACATCTCCAGAACTGTTTCTAGGAGCTGAACAGGCGATATAGGGCATTTTCAATCAAAATTTGTATGATGAACTTGCATATTAGGTTACCGTGCAAGCAATGTTTCTTTTGGAGTTACTTACAATACAACAATACCCGACTGACTACGTTTTTCTTTCATGCTATTTCCTCTGTAAGATATAGTCAAATTCAGTTCAAAGTTTCCACATAGGTACTATACTGACAGTAACACAATCTATAATCTGTGTTATATCTTTAATTTCTACATGTCACTTGTACTGAACATTTACATCGACCACAGCTAATACTTAACAGGGACTATGCATTATCAATGCTTGTTGTATCTCTTCTGCAATGGATACAGCACCTAAACTCAAAATTCAAATATGTGCTTTGCACTTTAATTTGGTAACTATCAATGTGTTTTCTTTGTGATCAGGTTCATGCCACTGGTAATCCAAATGATATTACATACAGTATCTCACCAAGCCTTTATCAATCAGATTTTGAGATTGGAACACAAAGTGGTGTTCTCAAAACAAGGCAACCACTTGACCGTGAAGAGGAAGGTGATGGAAAAGGACAAGTTCGACAATTTCAAGTCATTGCAAGAAATTCATATGGTACTACATCTGTCGATGTCCTGGTTAATGTAGAGGATGTCAATGATAATGCACCTAAATTTCCATATTCTCCATATGTTGGTCATTTTGAGGAACATACTGGCCCAGGTAAGTGACAGTAAGAATTTGTCGGCTTGCCCTACTTTACAAGTCGTGTCTTGCTTCATTTCAAGTTTTGTATAATTCATTTTTTTCTGGGGGAGGGTTTACTCTTATTTTCACTTTGCATGTTCCTTTTACAGAGACGAGAACTTCTTCTGAGACATCACATGATTTTAGAATTTGATTGCATGTTATTTTTGTCACAATCAGGATTTTAAGATTCTTGATTTAAAAAAAAAACGTCTTTTTTGCATGCCCATGTTATAAAACCTCTTGCCACCAAAACATTTTTTTCATGTATCTTTCTCAATCATGAACTAATGTCCATGCATTTTTTTCATCCATATACAAACTTTGTGCCAAAATGTGTGTTTTTTCCCTTAAAAATGCAGATGCGGCATATATGGGAGGTAAACTCATTTTTAATAAAACTCAGCAAAGTTGACACATAATTGAAGTTTTTTGCATCCAGTTTAACCAGACTCCTTACCCAACCCCAATTCATTTGAGTAATGCATCACCTCAGCTAAAAATGATATTATTTTTCATATTTTATTAAAAAAAAACTTTGCATTCTATTTCATGCAGAGAAACACCTTTGTATATTCACACAACCACAGTTAAAACATTTCTACCAAGTTATTAAATACATATTTACTATCACCTATCTGGTAGTTGTTCACTGAAGCACTTGAAACAAACTTGTGGTTCTCTTAGGGCAGAACATTCATTTTAAAAACACTGGTGCTTGAGAGACAATTACTAATATACATAATGTATGATTGTATATAAATAAAAATCCACTTATCTGTTATTCCCTTGTTTGTCCTGTACATGTTCCTTTGTAAATGCATTGCTGTGAGATCACAATAACAAACTAATATTATTGTTTGTGCTGCTAGGTTTCTTAGCTTATAAGCAATGAAAGCATCTTGTTTCATTTACATGTGCAAGTTCATGTGGACCCCTGTTGTCAAACTTGACTGCATGCTTACACGATTCTACTTAGCTAGTTTTCTGCAGTTTTACTGCACATTTTCTTCACTTTTTCTGATATATACATCTTTTCTATATTCTATGGTACATACCTTGTACATATGTAGTGTTGTGTTGTCCTGTGTACATCGTGCATCAACATTCCTTCATCTTCCCACATCCTTACAAATATTATGAATATAGTACAACTATTAAAATATATCCAGTTTGTTATCTGCATAGTTGTATTAAAGGGATAACCGTTCCCAAGATTTTAAAACCATAATTTGAATAATATTTTTTCAAATTTTTAACAATCCCAATAAGTTAGTTTTTGTAAATGTTGTTGTCCAGTACATTAATTTTGAAACTTGTCATTGTGGTGTACAAGAGTACATTTTTAATTATTTCTGGAAAGTGATATAGAAAAAAATATGCAGTTTACAAAATTGTATGTTGAGTTATGTTTGTTTACAAAGTTGTCTGTCTGGTCATGATCACCCATACTAACACAACAGGACGCAGTAATAATTTCACCAAAACGTAACTTGAACCAATTTATCTTCGTTGTAAATGTGACTACAGATGTTTTGCAATTAAAAAAAAAAAATTGATTGAATTTGAAAATTTTTAAAATTGAAAGATTTTCAGGGAGCATTGCTGCCAAATGTAACAAGTTCATTGGCACCATATATGAGTGCATTTAGAGCTCATTCTGTGAAATTGGATCTAATTTCATAATTGATCAGAAACAACACTCCTAGTTTTCTGAAAGCGAACCTTTGGAGTTTGTATAAACAATTTACTGTGACAGGAATGGGACATGGCTGCAATTCAGAATCTTTACAATTTTATTCAAAACTTCAACTCTATTCTAATCACAAATGTCCGTTCAAAGAAACATGTGTGAAAATCAAAAACTGTGTTAGTAATTCACAAGCATTTTATCTATTATTGTTAGTTAAGTTGCTGTCATTTTTCATTTATAAAACATTTTTAAATATTTTATACAAAAACATTCATAAATTTACTTTATCACAGTGGGGATTTCATTATAATTTCTTTTTAAAATGATACTATGTATTTTCACTGAACTGATTGCTAATTAATTGTAACATCTTATTTACAGGGGAGTCAGTGATGACAATAGATGCAGTTGATCTGGATGATCCCAATGTAGATCGAAATGCTAAACTTGTCTATAGCATTGTGACCAATTCTTTAACACCTGAAAGCAGGAATATTTTTACAATTAATAGTGATACAGCGCTCATTAAGACAAATGTTGGTAATCTAGACAGAGAAACAACACCAGTGTACTTTATCACTGTACAGGCTATTGATGGATATGGGTTATCAGGTGAGACAAATTTCTCAACAATTTACATAGACCTTTCTCTGGTACTGAATTATTGTAATTATTTTAAAAACAGGGCATACAAAGGTAGTTGTGGCATCAAAACATTGCAGGGTTGATGAAATCTTGCCATAGCCTGCTCTGAAAGATTGGCATTTTGATATTGAACTATAAAAGAGAAATTGAAGTTCAAAGTCAAATCATTTGTGGTAAATGTTTGATCTGCTTCATTCATGCATTACACAAGATCTCGTAGTGAGCAGAAAATCACCTAACATCTCTTGCTCAAACAAAGATGTAGTATTTGAATTGAGTTTCTCAAATTCAAAATCAAAACATTTTGCAAAGTTCTGAGTAATTAGTGTTGTCTGGGTTCTGTAGTATGAACAGAAAGTGTTGCATACCTACCACGTCTGTCTAAACATACACAAGACAAAACTGGCTTATAATTATTTGTTAACATTTGCGTGGTAGTGATTTTAGCAATTCCTTCATGTGTGTTTCATGTATACATGAAATCTATAGATATCATGTGTCCTTGCTGTGCATGTAGCTTGTTGTACACAAGACTTCATCTCGCATTGACTTCATGTATATTATAGTCAATCATTTTGGTAAGAGTCATGGCAGGTCAGAAAAGGTCATTTTAAGTTTCATTAGGAATATGTTATTACTCTATTTGGATTTTCATAATAATTTTTTTTTTTTTTCAACTTTATTGTAGGCACTGTCACAGCTACAATTTATGTTGATGATATCAATGACAATGCACCAGAGTTTCCCCAGGAACAGTACTACACCACTGTTTCAGAAAACCTTGCAGTTGATTCTTCTGTCTATTCAGTGAAGGCGTTTGACAGAGATGAAGGCATTAACTCCTATTCTATTACCAGTGGAAATATAGGAAATAAATTCAAGGTTGATGTAGATCTTCAGAGCGGTACTGGAATTATAAAAATACAGTCGGTATGTAGTTATTAAAGTACTGCAAGTTTATGTAAACAGATCTCCACTTTTCTTACAATATAAGGATTAAAGTTCTATTGATAGTAAATAAATCAAAAAACCCATATCACTCGTGTAATCAATGCAATGCCATAAACAATCAACCTATTTCTGTCTCTTCTAAATAGCCACTTGATTTTGAAGAACCGGACCAGAAGCAGTTTCGCTTAGTTGTTGAAGTATTTGATGGGGAAAATTCTGACAGTACTCAAGTTTTGATTACTGTTCTTGATGACAATGATGAGCCTCCGTTGTTCCAGAAAGATAGCTATCAGATATCAGTGTATGAAGACTATCCTCTGAATGTGGAAATAACCAGTGTGCAAGCAACAGACCGTGACTCTTCTGCTAAGTTTAGTAGCATTGGGTGAGTGAAAAAATAATCTGAAACATGCTTTTCCAGTATCGCTTTTTATCATCCTTGTCATCGAAGATGAACAAGAGGAGCTATACATATTACTAATTGTTGGCCAGGTATACAAAGTATGCCTTGTGTCATAATGTATTTTAGAATAATTATAAAAATTGTATTTATTATTTTTCTACAGTTATTATATTCCAGCTGGGCAGGATGATGGTAGTTTCTTTAGTGTTGGAATAGAAACTGGTATAGTTAAAGCAGTCAAGCAACTCGATAGAGAACCTTATGAAGATCCAAAAATGATAAAATCCAATTATATATTCAAAATAACTGCTGTAGATAATAGAGACGGTTAGTGAAACTATTTAACTTGATTGCTATCAAGGTGGGAATTATATTAAACTGGTATTGACCATGTTACATCTGATGTACAGTATATATGTATGTGCATCACTTATGGTTGGGTACATCTGATGTACAGTATATATGTATATGCATCACTTATGGTTGGGTACATGCTTTTTTAGATACTTGTCAACATGTATGCAATTCTAGTGGAGTATTCTATAGTACCGTAATAACTCTATTAATTCGCGGTCTCTATTAATTGCACACCCATTTTATTTTCGAACTCTAATTTTTAAATGCATCTTTTGAATTCACGGCGTTTAAAAACGTTTAAAATTGTATCCTATTAATTCGCGGACCAGAATAAAGTGGATAACTCAGAATATATTGCATGAAGACATTAAAAATATACATTTTGTTTTTTTTAAGTTTGAGTTTTGATGTTATCAGTACTTGGTGTAGCCGCAATCGCAGATGATCTGTCATCACAGCCTTTCAGTTTAGGTTTAGTCAAGCAGTTTAGGTTCGGTCAAGATTTGACCTGAAAAAATCATTCCCCCACGACACTACAGATGTTGGGCAAGATTATTACTTAGTCGATAAATATCAATCGGTCAGCACATTGATTATGAATTTCTGTGATGGAATGCTTAGTACAGGGCTTTTTGTCACTGGTCCACAGGGTTGCATCGACCATGTGTCTGCCATTTTGGAAAGTGATTTTATTCTATAACGTCATTTAAGTGAACCGCCCTTTTGTGTGTAAATTGACGTTTTTGATTGGTCGGGCGATTGACCTCGTGTCACATTTTCATTATAGATGAAAGTGCTTGACAAAAAACAAACAATGATGTAAACAATGAACACATGGCTACAAAAATGCAATCAACAGGGCAGAAGACCACCTTATCCGAAGCAACACTGAAATAGCAGAAATCTATGCCGTTTTGCTTTTAGACGACAACGGTGATTGGTTTGATGGCTTCACTGCCGAAGACCTGTTGAACAATTAATAATTTGTGTCTGACCGTACTGCCTAAAAAATTTTTTAAAAAAAGGCAGTGCAGCCAGATGGCTAATTTGTAGCCACGTGTTCATTGTTTGTTTGTTTGTGTACCTTTGCCATTTCACTGTTCTATTTCATGGTGCGTGGTCCTTGACGCAGTGCGTGTTTCTGCCTGACTAGCCACGAGTCTCAGAGGCACTAAAACAATGTCCTGTAATCGTGTTCATTGGAAAAAAAAACAAATCACTAATAAATTTATAAAAACGGCTCATTTTTGAATCAATCTAAAAATACTCTTTTAATTCGCGCACCAAAAACCAATTATTTCCGTTTTTACGCTACTAATTCGCGCACTTGAAAAAATAATTATTTTTACTACTGCGAATTATTTGAGTTTTTACGGTAATGTTGGTTAACATTAACACTCTGTAATACATCTTCTAAATGTATCTGTTTATTCTTTCAGGTCCTTATTATGAAGCACACAACACAGCCACAACGACTATGACAATTGATTTGATTGATGTAAATGATAACCCTCCAGAATTTTTACTCAATTACCAACCAGTGGTCATGGAAAACACTCCTGCTCCTGAATTTGTGGTTCAGATCAGTGTTATTGATAGGGATAAACCAGAACAAGGTCCTTTCACATTCAGTGTGGATAACTCAAATGGTATCCTGGATTATTTCAGCTTCAATCCTGTTCAAAATACTGATGGTATGTCATGACAATAAACAATATTTTCCCAGCAGTTACAGCTATTTGTCTGTTATAGCAGTCTATTCGTAATTTTGGTCTCTAGAGGAGAGAAAAGAGGAAGACTTTGTTGATTCAAGTTGAATTTTTTTTGACATTGTCAATCTTGCTTTTTTAAACAATGATCTGTACCATTTAAGTTACCCAAATGGGATGAACTTGCTGACAAAAAAAATAATTATGTGCATTAGTCACACAACATTAAAAGTTTACATGTGCATTTTTAATAAACATTGAGGCTCATTAAGTATGAATTGTTTCATTAGTGAAGCCATGCCTTGTGGGCATGCCATATCCCATACATGTAAATAAATCATTTTTTGCGACTATCCATGTGTCAGCCCTTGCATAATGATTTCCCATAACTCTCATGCATTTGTTTTGATCCTATTAAGTTTGGCTGACTGGTGGCCAATTTAATCATTATTTGTTGAAATAATAATACTGTCTATTGACAATGACTTGTTTATAGAATGCTAGATGCAATATATCAATGATAGATGACATGCTTGTAAAGGTTGACAGATGTTTGATACAACAAATCCTGTGCTTTTTTAACCACAGATCAAGCTGATGTTTTCTCACGTGTGATGTTTGACCGTGAGGAGACGCCCTACTACTATATGGCAATTGTAATGGCTGACAATGGCGATTTAACTGGAACACAGACATTGACGATTAAAATAGGAGACGAGAATGACAACCCACCTGCAGCAGCCACAAAGGAAATATCACTTTATACATACAAAGGTAATTGTGTCGTCACCCAATATATTGTGGTATTCCAAGGTACCATTAAGGGCTTATCATTGATAAATAAAATAAACCGCTAAGGGCCTAAAATGAATCCTTGAAAATCAGACGTAATGTTACTCCATAAAGATTGTAAACTTTGTTTCATGTTTGACAAATAATCACGCAACCAAATTACAGCGGGCGCAAGATATTTACATACACCTAACTCCTGCACCCGGTAGATAATTACCGAGGGACTTTGCAACATCTCCAGACACTTTGCTAGACACTCCAATGACCGTTGTAGACGCAATAAAGTTACATACATGCTCACGTGACAGTTAATCAAAATACTGGATGCGTTATGCCTTTGAAGTTTGGCCACGAAGAACGAGGAGTAGTTGGACTATTCCATTGTTTTGTAGATACGAAAATCATTGCTATGTAATACAAACATTAAACTGAAAATAAATATTAATAAGAAATGATAAATCTAAATTCTTTTGACTGGTGGTTTAAGATGTTGTCAATGGATATTATATTAATAATGTTAGCGTTGTGAGTGTCCCGTTCAATGTCCTGCTTAAAGTGCCTGTGAAATAGTTGCTATTTTCACGCCTAAAATTATCCATTGAATTATTTTTTTAAGTGAAAAAATGTGTTTTAAACTCAATCTACGACAACTATATTTTTGTGTATTTTTGACTCCTGTGTGCGAAGCACAAAAGGGAGTCTTTGCAGCTACCCTGTATGTCTGTATGTCTGTATGTCTGTATGTCACTTTTTTTGTTTCACAGTTATCTCAAGAACCACTAATCAAATTTCGATGAAACTTGGTACATAGATGCTCTGGGATAATGCGGAGAATT